GGCGGGGTTGTTGTGAGTGTTGGTGATAATGTGTATTAAAGGAGAATGTCTAACACAGTAACCTAATGTAATAAATGCTATCTATTTTAAAGTTATGTAGTAATTGATGTTTGATAATTTTCTTATCCTGATTGTAACATAGAAATATTCTAGGCTGAACCCAACATAGTTCATTTGTATGTACCAAGATCTGGTACGTAGTTGGGACTCAACAAGTATTTGTTGAATTTTTTTTAAATTAGATTTTTGGGGAAAATAGAACAAGTTTGTCCAAATGCTGTGGCTACTGAGATGAGTTTTAGGGCTTCTAGTATCCAACAATATCATTTATTTTAATTGTTTTCCAGTTTTCTATTATTAGAGTTTTAACTGGTAGTGCGGTTAACACTAGATATTGATTTTCTCATAACTTACTCCTGGTAAAAATGCTAAGTGAATAAAGAAATGGTTAACAAGCTAACAACAGCTAAGAAAAGCTTGATTATTTCTTGGATAATTGACTGTTGAAAAGTTATATTTTTGAAAATATCCAAAGTGATAACCAGTTGAATGAAGCTGGGTATCTAGATGTCTGTAAAAGCAAGTAGAGAAATACACTGAATAGTACCATGCAGAAGTTCTTAACTACATAAATATAATTTTACATAATTAAATAATACATACGATACTCTAGTGACTCAGCATGATGTAAAATCCCCATGTCAGTCCTCAATAAAGAAAACATTCTGCTTTGGAAGCTTTCTCCTCTGCTGGAATCCATACAATTGAAGGATTTTTTTTTCTTTTTTTCATTAAGACAGCACAGTGCATAGATCACCTGCATTTGATTTATAGTTGGTACTTGGTAAACAGAGGTTTTATTTAATATTATTCCTATCTATCTGCATGAAGTCACGGTAGACTTCAGTTTGTGAGATAAAGCGTTCTTTTATATTGTATAATACCCTGTAGTACCTGCACATTATTTCACCTACACATTATTTCAAGATTTATGCAGCAAGTAAAACCCTTATAGAACTTAAGCACTTTTATCTTCTGGCAGACAGTGCACTGAAAATGTTTACTGTACTTCTTTTTAGAGGATACCATTTATTTAGGTTGTAGCGAATGTCTAGCATGAATTTTTAATTTAAAACTATAGAAATAGAAGCTAGCTAGATATAGGAGTTAGAAAAACAGGTAATATAAAATATAAAAATTTAAGAACAAAATATGAAGTACTAAAATTTCCTAGGATTTAGAACTTTTTTCTAGCCAGAAGAATTTATTACTGACTTCTGTTTAGGTCATCAAGGTTTATTAGATATTGTCATAAGAAAGTAGGAAAGATGGAAAATGGGAAATTTTTCCACTATAATTGCATTGTGACAGTTTTTCTTCTTAGAACTAACATTCTTTTATTGATGAATACTTTTGAGGTCTTAGTTTTAATTATTAGCAGAAATGAATGAAGTTTGTGAATGTGGTGTCATGTAGTATTAATGTTATTTTTTGATAGATGCAGATACATAGATGTACAGGTATAAAGTGATTTAGATAATACTTCCAAGGTCTCGGAATAGGTGATTTCTTATCTTATCCACATATGTGTTTGGTCAGTAACTGATTTTTATGAATACATGAAGTCTTCTGAATTTTTCTAGCCATACCATGGTGATAACTCTAAAAATATACAATAGTTTATTTAATTAATTCATAAACTTATGGGAATAGAGTCGGATCAATTTCCCAGATTTTCTAGTTTTTTTACCTTTTTTCCCCTAGAAGGGGCTTTTGGGGAGGGTGTGGCAGTATTTCCTAAGTAAGAGTGAAATCTTTGTGTGAATAATCAAAACTTATAGCAAGCTGATCATTTAAACCTACACATTCCCCTCTCTAGTACTGTTCTAAATGACAAAGTGTGCCTCATTTTTTCAATGATAGAGCTTTATACTGAGTGTATGTTGTTGGAAGGAGCGGAGTTGGGAGAAAACATTGCTTTTTTAGGTCCTGGTCTGTTACTATGTAAATGACTTTAAACATGCTAGTAATTACCCTCATCTGAAAAAATGAGTATGACTCTTTTTTCAAAGAACATGTGTTACTCTCACCATCAGAAATTGGATGATAAATGCTATTTTTTCAAATGAGGCTAATAGCTATTCCATTTTGAGTTAAGTTCCTTGAAGGTTTGTACCCGACATCACTTGAAGAGACTTCCAAAAACTGTATTGCAATTGTTGGTCTCTCTAGTTGATTTTTGTAATCCATTCTAGATCTGTGATCTGAAATGAGTGATTTTACTTTGTCTTCAGACTATTTTAAATTGTGACAGGAGGTAGATGATTCCTACTGAGAACATAGTCTGAGATAGAGCTTAGGATAGTATTGAGATTAACATGCTGAGGTAAAGATTTCTTCATTTTATTTGGATTGTATCTGCGTATTTTTAATTTTTGGTAGAACATTTGCATTTGAAGACAGAAGTGTATAATTAGGGTAAGTGAAACTTAGATCAAAATTTTTCTGCTGTGTGAACAAATTCCCAGTTCCTAATGTATCGGTACTTTTCTTTCACCCAAATGTCACCATTATGACTCTTACTTGTTAGTGTCAGAGAGCATAAAACTAAATATTACAGTTCTCTTTCCTCTTAATTTTGATTATTCTTCTTATAGACATTGTCTTTGAAAATTTGTGAATGATATTATAACTTCTCTGCTTTTCCTACTGTGTGACACAAATTATTGCACACACGCTTTAATAGCCATCAGATTCAATGTCACTGCTGTACAATATACTAGCATCTATTGTTATCTAATTTTGTAGTAATTTTATAATAGCAGCTTAACATCTCTTATAATTTTAATTGTTATCAAGAAGAATGACATCGTTTAATTTGACTCAAAATTCAGAAGGATGGATGCCTGACAAATTAATAATTTACCACCTTTGCATAATACCAAAGCATAGAGTATTAGAAGGATTGATGGCAGAAAAGGTTAACAAATTTTAGCAGCTTTCATTAGCTGTACACCGTCATATGTTTGTGGTGCTGACTGAAATAGGCTTTGTAGGAGCTCTCGGGCTAGGGAACTAATTACTTGTGCCGATTGCCGCACTGATGAATAGACCCTCATTGTATCATTCCCCTGAAGACGACGAGCAGCCTGTGATTCACGACTGCATCCTGGCTGATATTTGATAATAATTTTAACAGATAAATGTAGGTAGGCAGAATGATGAAGTGCCTTTCCAAGCTCCATGACTATCAAAGCCATACACATAGCCAGCTGTGTGCTGCTTTCCCTCTCTCACCTAAGGAGAATTTTATTTTATTGAGTTAAAAAACTATTTTCTTTTGTTTATGTGTATATTCTGTAGGTATTTCTTACGTATTTTTAAATGACATCATAATATTAGTTTTCATTTAAAATGGAAACAACAAAGAATAAAAGAGCTTTCTATTTTTTTTCTCTTTGAGGGCTGCAGTTCTTACACTTTTTTGTATTCCATTTAGATTACTTTGTATTTTCTCCTCATTATGCATGATCAAAATCAACAAAAGAAATCTTTGATGTTCTCTTGTCTCCCTGGCATTCTCAGAAAAGAGTGTAGGATCTCTGTTTTTAAAAAAATATTTTCTTTAGGTAATTCACTGTTTGTTATCTATGCTTTTATTAATCTGAGATAATTTTTAATCAGTGGAGTACTTATTTACGAATCTATTTTGAATCTTTAAACGTAGCATCTTTAAAGCATCAAAATATGGATAACTTTTATGTGGATATTTTGGGGCTGTCAGTTGGTCAAGACTACTAATTTGTCAAAGCTGACAGGTACAATTTTATTAGCTCATGAAATACAAGTGAGATTTTATTTTGCATTAGTCATTTTTTGCAGAAGTTTTGATTATGAATTTTTAAATTTCTTTATTGAAACTTACAGATTTTCATGCTGTGTGTCTTTAGTGAATAAATGTATCCTGCATAGATTTTTTTTTCCACTTTCACTGGAAAAACTTCAGATTAGTATTTTCCTTATAAAATATTTTCCAGCATGCTAGATCATGATTAGTTAATAGGAGAGGAAGCTGACATTTATATATTGCCATGTAAAAGATCTACAGAATTGGGAAAAATATAGTAGAACTTCAATTGAGTGAACCCTTAAAAAATACATTTCCAAAAGTATGCTTTTGATATAGCAATTATTGCACATCATATAGCATGTAGTTTTTAATTAAATATAAAAACAGACTACATAAAACAGAAATCCAATCTGATTTGCTTGAAAATAGATTGCTATTTCACTCTATAGGAATGGTTTATTTAAAAACAGTAAATGGAAAAGAAATGCATTTTCTTGTGTTGTTCTAAGCCTCAGGGGCTAAATGTAATGAATATTTTAAGAGATTATTTTAATTAAATTCCTGCACATCTAAACAGAGTAATATTTTATTATCACATACATAACCATGTAACTGAGATATTCATTAAAGTTAACACTTTCTGGACCAAGAATTCATGGTATGATTTACTGACCTTGTGCAAAAAGGCACAAATTAGGAAGAAAAATGAAGGGGGACAGACTTTGATTAATATAGGTAATGCTATACCATATTTATAATAGCCTTTTCCCTATTCTGGTTTATAAATGCAGCCACAGAGAAAGGTGCCCTGCTGAGGCTGAAATGAGGCTGAAATCAGAGCACATGCCACTAGAGTGTGGGGAAACTGATCACACTGTCAGCAATTCATTTCAAAATGATGTATTTAGTGCTCATTTCACCTTCCAAGAAAAAGGAAAAGGAGTTCCTTAGGCTGGAAGGTGATATTGTTATTTTCAAGGACATACCTAAGTTAAAGATTGCAGAAAGGGGAGTGTGAGGTGGAGGGAGAATTAAGAGGAAAGGGAGGAAAAAAAAGGCAGAGCAAACAAGGAGAGCTTTATGCAGAAATTCAGTGCTACCACGCTGTTTGATAATTGCTAACATATGTGGCTTCTCTGTTTCATTGTAGTCGTCCTCGTGAGTTCTGGCGCCTCGACTACTGGGAAGATGACTTGCGGCGCCGGCGACGATTTGTGCGTAACCCTCTTGGATCGACACATCCTGAAGCGACACTAAAAACAGCCGTGGAACATGGTCAGTGTATAAACCACTCCTTGCTCATAGCAGCAGGTACAGTACTTGGTAATGAAGAGCATAACTTCATTATTACAAGGTACTGTAAAAATGGTCCAATACCACATTTCACAGTTACTCACCCCAGAAAGAGAAGTTAAATTTTTTTGTAGTTAGTATAGGCTGTTATTGAATTACGGTGTCAGGTGTGTTTATTTATTATGTTACACATGCAAAACACTTAACATAGACCCTTTGTTTCAGAGTAGGAGAATAAAATATTTCTCCTTTTAAACGACACATTCAGCTTTGAGTAAATTAATACAGGATGTCTGTCTTAAATCCATGAATATCAGAAAGACAGCATTTACAATCCAAATATGTTTGTAGGTTCTGTTGTGTGTATATGGGTTTCCCTCAACCATGGTATTTTAGTATGAGAGTATAAAGTGGGAGAGATGGTAATAAATGTCCAAGTGCCCAGATACTTTCTGAGCCTTGATTTGTAGATGGTTTTGATAGATGGCTCCTGGAAAAAAGAGAAGAGACATTATTTTCATATGTTCTGTTCTGCATCATCTTGTTATGAGAGCTTAACAAAACATTTTTCCTTCTTTGATATAATGCATATCACCATGATTCAGTTTAGGTAGAAGCCTGATGAGCAAATTGGAAAAACTGAAGAAGTCCTTTGGACTTGATAATAATACTCCCTTTGATCATAGGGTTTCACTTTATATTTTGTAGTTTTTGAAAGCCAATTAAGATACATTGATTAAGGGGGAAAATGTACCCTCCCCACGTAAATTTTTTGGGGGTTTTGTAAAATATAAATTGGTTATTTTTTGTAAGGTAGAAATGGTTTTAATTTACCCTTTTCAGGGTATTAGTTTAACCTACAGTAGCTTATGGTTAAAGGATAGGATGCAGTATACAAAGTAAATGTTAAATTACATTCAATAAGGATATCAAGAATTTAGATGAAAAGTCTGTGATCTTAGGTTTGGCCTCAGTCAGGCAGCTTAACCTCTTGCACTCGGCCCTAAAGAGCCATTTCTGGAAGAAAATGTCCACAATATGTCATCAGATATAACACCAAATGTGACATCAGTCCTTTAAAATAAATGATCATACAGAGAATAGTCAATAACAAAGTAATCTAAAAGCAGTAATACTTGCAGGGCCCTACATTTTCAGCTACAGGAGGTGGAGAAGGAGGAATAAGATGCAGAATTAATTAGGCCACTTTTGCTTTTAAGGTTCATGTACTTTTCACGTGGTACTGAAGATTCCAGAGTTATATGTACATATATTTTTTCCTTTTCCTTCCTGTTGTTTTTGTGCTTTTGGTTAGTGACCCTTACATTGAAAATAATCAGCCTTTTTGCAATTTTATTCTTTCAGAAAAGTCAAACAGATGCTACCGTGTATGTGCACTTAAAATTTCATAAGTATCTTTCTGTCTTCTTACCTGTCATTTAACATTGAGTTGTGAGTTCTGACATCTATGAATGACAATAAAAACATTTTTATGAAAGATTTTCCTTTTTTATCTGGAGAGGGGGACCTATTTTCTAAAATTGCACGTAAACTGTTAACCCTTTATCCTGAAAGAAATAGCAGTAACTGAATTTAAAATTTGTGGTATAGATTTAATGAAAATCATTTTTATTAAAAATATTACATTTAGCCACTTTGGTGAATTATAGGATGTTTCATAATGAATTTTAATTTTATTATTGTTGAATTTTATCTTTTAAAATAACATTATCATTTAACTTTTTAATATGGAGAGTCTGATTTTTGAAGACGATATTAGCAATGCTTACTGTCATTTAAGACTTTAAATCCTGTCTAGAAGCAGATTTCACTCTACTCAAAATAGTAATTGAAAATTTAATGTAATATTAATATTGTCTATGCTCTATTGTACATTCTCAGTTGAGGGAGAGAAGAAAAGTTAAGCATTTTATGTAATTCCCTTCTATTTGGTAATATTTTATATTAGTTTTATAATGATTAATATTTAAAGCACTGAAACATTAATAATATAAATTTAAATCTAAAATATATATTTTTTAAAAGTAACCAAATGTGTAATAGATGCTTTCAGTTAAGGAGATGTGTTATCTTTAATATAACATTTTTTGAAAAAATAGAAAAGCTCTAATTATGCTTTATATCTATGTTTTTTATTTTAAATAACAAGGAACTATTAGTCAGTTTTGGAACTCAGCACATAAATTATAATATGGTATTGTTTAGTGTCAGCGTTAATTTATGCTAATACTTTAGTTAAGCAAAGAGCTTAATTTTTTAATGTTTTATGAATTAGAATATATTGTAGTTTGACATTCAATTTTAACTTTGTGTTAATTATGAAATGCTTTTTTTTATTCTAACTTAGTGACATTAAGGGAGCTAATAAAAATATATTAAGAGTCGAGTATGCAAAATGAAACAGTTAATATCAAAAAGCAGTTGAAATCATAGAATTTATCATGGATGAATACTTTGCTTCAATGCTGAATTTGAATAATTAAAGTAGATATAGTAAACTGAGGATAGTATGTCAGTTTATACTATTTTATGACTTCCCACTTTAATTTATAGTTGATTTAACTAAGGAGACAGGACATTTTGAAAATGCAGAATCTCAAAACATCATGAACTATATTACCATTATCAAAGGAACACATCTAAATAGAAATGCTTTTGAGGATTAGTTATGTATTTTAGTAGTAAGAGCCATCTTTTTTATAGATTGATTTGATTTGAAGGAAAGCCTCTGGTGTAAGGGTGGCAGAGTAAATACCTGAAGAGTGATGTTCTCTGTTCCGGCGATCAATACCAGCCCCATGACTCTACTTCTGGCTACCTTCTAGTTAAAAACAAATTTTTTAATTCTGACAATTTAATTGCCCTTCCCAAGTTCACATTAACTTGCTTGGGGAAAAGGGGTTTAGGTAATTTTTCAAAGAGAGACCCTCCAAAGTGGTTATTTATAAAAGTCACTTTGTAATAGGAGATTTCTTTAAGTTTGCAGAAACTGAGTCATATTTTAAAATTAACATTAAGACTTCCTCTTATGATTAAACATTCTTTATAGAAAGTGGCAGCAGCAAGCAGAGGTGAATATTTAATTCTTGAGGGCATTTTCTTCCATTTTACAGTTTTAAAATCTATTAGAAATCAGTTGTAATGATTCATACCCTCCTAGTGCACAGAGAACAGTTGGTCAGTTATTTATTATCGAAGCATTTTAGATCCAAAAAGAACCTAGGGCTAAAGTCTAGTATAGCTTTATTCTTTACAGATAAGGAAACTGAGGAAACAAAAGACCAACATAATTCTTGGTAGATACAGAACGAAAGCCCAGCAGGTTAACTGACTAGTCAGATTTTCTTACCATTGTGCTATGCTGTCTTCTAAAATTCATTATTAAATATAATGGGAATTTTATATTCACATTAAAGCCCCATAAAAAATGTTTTAAATGGTGGAAAGATTGGTTTTAATTCAAATACTAAAGCAGTTTAGCAGTAGAATCCTATTGAATTTAAGACATTTTTACTTTGTAGAGAATGTGCACGTTAATAGAAATGTATGAGGAGAATTTAACATAGTTTAAAAAGTACGTTGTAACCACATGGAATGATACAAGTAACTCATCTGATTTTCTAGGAATGAGAGACCATTGTAAAGATCCTAAATTATGCTGTTCTCTTGTATCTTCAGTAATGCCAGGTACTATTGCTTCCTTTTTAGTATCCACAAACAGTATGTTTCTACCTAAAACTTTTGAGAAACCCATGATCATTTGGAGGTGAACTTGTTCTCCTGATTATCCTTTGTAGTTTCACCAGTTTTTCTAGAGTAAATTTTCTTAACTTGAAACCGTTTGGAAATTTCATAAAGAGGAATGAATTTAGGATAATAGCTGTGTATAGGTATTCATTATGTGTCCTGTTCAGAATAAACAGTTACGGTGTGTCCTGCATGTCACACTTCAGTGGATACTCGTATATGTTGTAGGTACAGTTAATGTCACTTTGTTATCCCAGTAGCTATCTTTATTTTTTTATGTTAACAAAGTGGCTAACTCTTATGTGTAAACTTCTTTTACTCTAACGTGGACTATTAATGATTCTAGTTCATTGGTACAGTGGACTTTTAAGAAGAGATTTATATATCATAGATAGAACAATTTTCTGTATTCTTTTTCTGTTTTAATTTTACTTACCTAGTCTCTGTTGCATAGTTAACTCATGCGCAGAGCTACCTCTCAAGAGCTTGAACTTTACATTTTGAGGACCAGCTTTTCTCTGAGCCCTCTCATTACTCTTAGCTTCAATGAATCAAAGTTATATTTCAAAGAAAACATTTTTGACAGATTTCTCTAATTTTATGTAACAATTGCAGTTTAGTTATTTTGTTAAATCGATATTAAATCAGAACAAAATGTGAGATTAGATGAAGGCACTTTGTTATCAGTCACATGAAAAATTTAAACTGTTGTCATGTTTGGTAATGATTTTATTAACCAGAAAATATCTGAATCAAGCCTTAAAATTGCACGAAAAGTATATTTTAACTTCATCTAATTAAGCTGTTATACAAATGTTGAATATACTCACAGAAGGTATCAAAATAATTGATTCTTGTTTTAATGGTTGATTGAGTATAAGGCAAACGAAAGTTTAAAAATATACTTTTCCCAGCACATATAAACATGATAATTATCTTTTATTTTATGCTTGGGACAGTGTTGTTCTAATTTTGAAAAAAAAAAGTTCTTTAGCAGAAAGCTATTAGACCATTGAGAATTGAACACCAGCGCATGTGGTGTGTATTAGAGTACTGTTGGTAATTTTACTGCTGCTAACTTAAAATCCTCAAGGGGGAGTTAATTACAGGAAAACCATTCTAAATATCAGTAAGCTGCATATTTTCCATGACAAGAGGTTTTTCAGTTGAGGTTGAACAATTCCAGAATCTGAGCTTGTAAAAATAGGTAAATAAAGGAGTGTTTGTATGCATACAGTAGACCTATAGTACTTAAAATTTTTTTTCATAGAATTTTACTTAATTCAAAAGTTACTGTGTTTTAATATGTTATCAGCATGATGAGAACATACTTAAAATTTTTAAATTTCAGTATTATATTTAGTGTTATTCAGTATTCAGTATTATATTTAGCCATTTGTTTGAATGTGAATTTATTTAATGAGCTACGTTAAACCATTGCATACTGTCACTGGCTACTTTTACTCATTTTTTTGGTAAATATTTACAGATTAAATGGTTTTTCCTTTTTTTTTTTTCTTTCAAATAAGCTTGGTGTACTTCAGGACATGAATGGTAATAATCAGAGAAAGTAATGAGCAAGGTGTTGAATTTAGTTGTTTCTGATGTGTTTGGCATATGCTCATCAAATTTAGGCTTGGAAATGAGTATGTTTTTATTCTGTACTTACTTATTATGATTCTGACTTTAACCTTTTAAATGCATTATGAGAAACATAAGGATCAGTAAACTAATCAGGAAATTACATATACATTCATATTTGTATATTGGTTATTAACACTTTCTCTGGCAAAGTGGTTAGAAGCCCAGATTCTGGTGCCATATTGCCTGGATTTGAATCTTGACTCTACTTCTTACTGTGTTTCCTTGAGCAATTTATGTAACCTCTCTGAGCCTGTTACTCATGTGAAAAGGAGGATTTAATAGAAAGTATATGAGAATCAAATGAGTTAAATATGTAAAGTGCTCTGAACACTCCTTGGCACATGATAAGTGTCATTTACTGTTAGCATTGTTATTATTTCTGCTTTGAAGAAGGAATCATAAATCCAGGAAATTAGAATGTAACATACTGAGTTTTTGTAGTAAAATCTCACTGGCAACTGTTAATTTATTATAATTTACTTTATTTATAAGAAAATATAGAAGATGGTGATTTGTAATGTTTCTCAGTGACCAGTTTGTTTTTAGTAAAACTGATAGTAAATTGGAAAAGATCTTGTTTGGGCTAAGAGCAATGTTTATGATTTAAAGGTAAGGAAATATGAATACTTGAAATATAAATGATATAAAAACTTATACTGCTGTTTTCCTAAAAAAATAGTGGATTTTGGTGTATTTCTTTGTAGCTTTAAAAAAGCTATTTTAATTAGATACTTTATGTCCTTTTCAATTGTTTATTCAGCCTTTCATATGTGTACAGCAGCGTACAATGCTCTATGTGGGTATGAAGGAAAAAAAGATTTTATTTATCCGTAGAGGGTATTCAAAGCTAAATATGGAAAGCTTCTTCTCATGACTTCCTTATTTAAGAGAAAGCGCCTATGTTCTTTTAAGTAGTGCTGTAAGTATTGTATATAAATGATATACATGGTGAACTCAGAAAAAATATGGTAAAAGTAAACTTTTACCTCTAACATTATCCATACTCATACCTATTAAACTCAAAGCAGCTTTGATTTGTCAGGTTAACCAGGTAAGATACATGCAGTTTAACTATTTAGAATAAATTATATAGATAAACATTAGTCATGTTACTGCAAACTGAGTGCTTTATCCTTCCTGGGTTTGGGGCCTCATGCCTACGTGGATACTGCAGTGGAGCAAAAGGCCTGGCCATCTGATTTCTATATCAGTAGCTGCTGCCTGGGGATCAGGTGCTTTACCTCTGGGATTTCTCTATCTGGAAACCAGGATGTCAGGAGTGTGGTGAGGACTCTAAACTTTCCCTTCTGTGACACTGAGAGCTTTTAAAAATCACCATCCAGAGATTAGTATCTGCTTTTATGTATTTCTTAAGGAGAAAGCTGCTTAAAGCCACGGGAGTCCTCTTGGAGGGATATGGGGCTGTGAAGTCAGATTTTTTAGTTTCAGTGTTTACTCCCTTCAGCAGCCCCCCTCTCCCCTCTCTGGTTCCACGGATGGCTGAAGGTGCTCGGCAGAGCTGCTTCTCCCCTCCTTCGTTGCTTCCTTGCCTCTCTGGCAGCCTTGTCGCAGTGCCGGGAGTCTGGTGCCGCCGCTCTCCGCGGGCTGCTCCAGTTCCGGCAGCGCGAGGCTCTTTGCCCAGATACCTCTCATCCCGGGCTTTCTGTTATGTTTGCCCCCGGGGCGTCTTAGCCCTTTAGTTTAAACACATGGAGGAGGTAGCGTTTGAGCCTCCACTTAGTTTCCACACTGCCTTGCTCTTGGATATTTGTATAAGGGCTGGAGTTGGGGTGTGGGAGGGGTGAAATGTGGGCAAGGGCGACGGAAAGGAGAGAGGCAGGATGGAGTGAAGAGGAAGGGCATGCAGCTTCTAGGAGCTGCTAGGGCTTTATCAGTGTCAGATATGGCTTTGGAACCTGGCCTAAGTCTGCACTGGTTATGACTCTCTCTTAGCTCTCACCCTTCTTACTTACGGATTCTCCTCCACAGCCCCTCCCCAGCCATTTCAGAATGTTTGTCACGGTAATATCATTCGCAGGAATGAATCAGTCTTCCTTATTTTTCAGTGTTAAGTAGGTATTGTTTCCACAAATAGGTTCTGATTTTTTTTTCTACTAACACATTTCCAAAAAATGTGCTGCTTTTGAACCCTCTTCTGCCCTAACTGTAAGTAAATAAACGGTTCGGTGAGCAGTGCAAGGGTCAGATTTAATGGGATTAGGGTGCTTGCTCAGGGTAACATTAGACTAGATTTGGGGAATCCCGTTTGTCAGAAGGAGCATGTGGGCCATCCGATCACTTTCCCCGCCGTGGGTGACTCTGTGTAAAACGATTGACCATCTTTGGCCACCTCTCCTTACCTCAGTTCCCTGCCCCTCTGCCAGAGTGCTCTTCCCAGAGCTGATGGACAGCTTTGTTTCCTTTTCATTTCAGCTGCAGATGAAGATATCCTTGCTAAAGGAAAACAGTCCATCAAGAGTCAGGCTTTAGGAAATCAGAACTCAGAAAACGAGATCCTCCTGGAAGGTGACGACGATACTCTGTCATCCGTGGATGAAAAAGATTTAGAGAATCTCACCGGTAAATATAGCGGTTGTACCCATACTTCAGCTGGCTCTGGGCCAATAAGCATCTAATTACTTACGTTTTGGGCGGTGACTGCTAGGATTACCAACTTTACAGCCACAGTTACATTCAATGAAGATTGTTTTTGTTCTTCCAGACATTTTCCCCCAATGATCAATACTGTTTCCTCGTTATTTTTCAATTCTGTTCATTCTCTTTACCCTACTCATCTTTTTCTTTTATGAATAATCTTCACTGGAAAAGAAAACAGTTGAAAAGCAGTAACAAGAAAATTAGATTGCTTTACCCATCTAATGGGAGTTACCTAACCTCTACAAAATGAGAGCTATAAGTAAAATCATGCCTATTGTTTTGTGAATACAGCTTGGAGGCTGATGAGCTATTTGCTTTGATATACAGGTCTTAGGGAACATGCTGCATATACATTTAACTCTCTCAAAAAATCCATTCCAGGAATGCTATTGCTTTTCAAGGATTCACATATTTTACCTGATGTAGGAATTTTGATTTGCACTCTGCAGATTTTCAGTTTTACTTCCCTTATGGGAAAAATTCTCTTGTTTAGCCTGAAATTTTAGTCATTCATTAAATGGCTTTTTTTTTTTCTTTAATGCCTGGGACTCTGTCCCTCAACGAGGAAAGTCTGAAAGATTCTACAGTTTCTATAGGTGAAAATTATATAATCTTCAAGTTTGGTAACTTTAATTTAAAAAGCATGAGAGATCTTTTATTTAGTGACCTATCTGCATCCTGTGCTAACATGCAGTGAACAGTGATGAAAAATAGATGATGGTATCTTCTCTGATGATGACTGTAAATCTCCTGTAAAGTAAAATAAAACTAATTGGAGCATACTGCTAAGGGATTGGGGGTGGGAGTAGAGAGTGAGTGAGGCACTGCTGTTCTCTAGTCTTTTTCTTCACATCCATTTACCCCCTTCCTCCTCCTTTATTTTGCTTCTATTCTTGCTACTAGTAATACATTCATACAGTAATAGAGGTGAAAGGGGAGTTTAATTATATAATCTTGACAATGGCAATAGGATTAAGAAGTAATCCACACTAATAAAGTGGTGTGGGTTAGAAATGAAGTGGAAATTGTCAGGGGTCTTCTGTAGGACCTAGGCTGCCCTGGCTCCTGCAGCTGTCTGCTTACCCTGTAATTGAATGTCTGAGAATGATTGAAAAAATGTTATTTCTTCTCAGGATTACATGCTAATGTACGGAGGGCAAAGGAGACAGCAAAAGAACACATAGCTGCTTATTTCATCCATTTATAGGGATGAGCTTTGGGAAATCATGGCTGTTCTGCAGCTATCTGCTGCCCATCTGCAAACACAATGTATTTGTACATTGGGAATAGAGGGCAAAACCTGCTCTGATCTCCGCAGAGCATCCCTCCTATTGTCCTGCTGGCACACATTAAGATTGATGTGAGATTAAGGACCAACACCCTCCTAACAATCGATGAAAATGTCAATTCGTCTGAATTTTGAAACACTTATTCACCCATTGATTACCTGAATAGGTGTACCGTGTTTATAGGCACTATATTAATTCAGAACCATAAATGCCAATCTTCTCTTGCTGTTTTCTTCACCTATAGGATTTTTACAATGAGGAATTTACATGGGATTTCAAATTCTTCCTACATGTGTTCTACATAAATATATACATGTTTAATTATTATTTTTAGTCCTTACTTTAGGTTGGGCTCTAATATACTCTATGCTGTTCTATCTGTAGTGAATCTATTGTTTTCAGTAGCAGGCTGATTTGTCTCTTTGATAAGCCCTGTGGAGATTTGATTATTCCAATAAAAATTCATTCACTTGGAAACCCACCCTCCAGCTGTTTACTCCCAGAGTCCCTGAACTACACTGATATTAGATTTGGAAGCACTGCACAATATTTAACAGTGGAAAGGCAGGCTTAGAAAAGAAGTATTTTCACCACTCCTTCGTGGGGTAAAGTTGTTATGGAGGAGGTTTTGTGTCAACCTGGTACAAAATCTTTATCAGGGAATATGGTTTAACGTTGCTCACTTCACTAATAAGCTGGTGATCTTTTTGCAATCATGCCTCGGCCCACCTCTAAGCTAACCTCTGGCCTTGGCAGCCTATTGAGTCTTCCTTGCTTCTGGTTGTTGTTCCATGTTGTTTGATAGCCTGAGGCTTCTTTTCTGAATGGAATGTGGAAGGACTTACTTAGGCAGAGCCACCTTCTAACCAGGAGATTAGACCAAAGCTTTGCAGACTCCCTGTAAAACAATTGCATCCTAGTTTACTGTTACCATCATCCGCCCTGTTAGAGATCTCTTGGTATGAGAA